CAAAGTATCCTCGCTCCTGGGGACAACTAACCCTTCTTTCCACCAGGATATTGGATCCTCCCTCTCCCGCTTCTCCTCAGTTCCTCAATTAGTCTTTCCTCATTTTACTTAGCACTCTTCTGGAATGCTTCCTCCACAGTGAGGTCTTCTGTAGCCCTCTGTAGGAAACAGCACCTCTATCTCCCTCCCCCATCATTTCTCTCTAATTTAGTTTTATTCCTGACACGTGTGACTCCCTGTCATTCTGCCTATTGGTATGGATTTATTAGCTGTGTCTGTTACATACACACACACACTGGAATGTTATTTTGTTCATGCTACAGTCCCAGAGCCTGGAATAGCATAAGCCTGTAGCAGATGCTCAGTGAACATTTGCTGGGTGGAAGGATCAGTTCCCCTTCTAAAATTATCACTAAACTTTTCCCTTTCCATAATTCTCTTTGCAACAAAGAAACAGGTTTAACTCACAACAGTAACAACACTAACAAATCCTCTACATACCTGAAATTTCACTTCCTCCCGTTCACTTCCCTCAAGCTGTTTTTAGCAATGACTCCCTAGTTATTCTGACTTCCGTTTATCATTTTAAAGTATGGACCACTAGTTTTTTAAGTTAAAGATGTTTGGGCTTTTTTCTTTTATTTAATTAAAATTTTTTTTCCTATGTTAGGAGTGCAAGAATGGCCTGCATTTCAAAAAAGTATGGACCACTTACTGTTAAAATTCTCATCTCACTCGTTTCTCAAAGGTCATTCTCTCCTGATTTCCCACCAACTGCAGCTTTCCGCTTCTGCTTCCTCCTAGATTCCTCCTATTATAATATTTAACCCTTAAATGTCAATGTTCCCAATACTATGAAGGTTCTGAGTTTTCCATTCAACTCCCAATCTTGATCTCTCTACACAGCACATCTCCAAATTCAAGCCTATCTCCTGATCTCTAAGTGGACACATACAACCAAACCCTGTCCCACTTCTAATGAGGGATCCCACAGCTATCACCAAGAAACCCTACAATTCTTCAAAACCAACCTTAAAATAACACCCTTTACGTACACACAGATATAGACATCGACATACACACGTGCACACCCGTGTTCCCTCGAGGGTCCCCAGCTCAAAAGTGAGAATCATTCTTGATCTTTTCCTTTAACTCCTTTATAATACCTAATTCCCTGGGATCTTCTCAGTCTACACCGGTTTATTCCCACATACACACATACATACGTACATCTACATATATACATACTTACCTTTATTTATTTATGGCATTTTTGCTTTAAATAATCTAAGTGCCTCTCTGCTCTCTATGTTGCCAATACCCTCAACCTCATTACTCACTGCTACCAAGAATATGTTTTCCTAAAACCCAAACAAAAATCAGATTTGACCTCCTCAGCAGGTACTGTGTCTTCAAAAACAAAACAAAATAACTTCTCATAGTGCAGAGCTCTACCTAAGCAGTCTGGCCTCTAAGTCCCTGTTAACTGCTCTGACATCATTTTCCACCTTAAGTCCAGCTACACTAAACATGTGCAGGGCCTGACCTCTTCCCTGATGACACATTCATTCAGGCTTTGTCTGCCTAGAAAAATCCTTCCATCACCCTGCCTGGCCTCTTATTATCCTTCAGAATTTGGCTCTTGTTCTCCAACTTTACTAAACCCCACAAGCATCTTGTGACAAACCCTCATCTGCAGTAGCAATACATCTTCATCTCTGTCTGTGGGTGCCACTGAATGCTGACTGTCTTGGCTCCCTGCAGGAAGGAACCCTGTTCTGCAGAACACAGCACGGTATCTGACATAGGGACACTACCTGATTTTCTGTGGAATGGGCGAGTGAATAAATGGGAACACCACATTTACAGAAAAAGTCTTAAGTTCCCATTTCCTTCATTTCCTTTCCTTCCCTATTTATTTTGTAGGAATCTAATCAAATTTTTCAGCATTTGCATTCTTCATTTATACTTTCTCAGAGTATAGTATGTGCTTAGCTTAAGCATAATATAAAGCTGAAAACAAAACAAAAAACTGGCCCCTAACTCTACTCCTCCCCTTCTCCTGATTCAGTCTTCCCACAGGCAATCATTTGAACTTGGACTGTTCCTTTTGCTCCTTTCCATCAAGCTAAATCACATGCTTGCAGTGTCATTAGTTTTTCCTTTGTTTTAGACATTCTACCAATATCTTCCTATAGAACAGGAGTCAACAAGTATTTTTTATAAAAGATCAAATGCCAAATATCTTAGGCTTTAGAGGCCATATCAGATAAGCTCAGTTTCAATGACAGTCATCCATAACTTTTTTGAAAGTACTATATTTCAAGCCCCTCAGGGGATGCTTCAAAGTACAGATAGTGTTGAACCCCTCACATAATATGTACATATCTGTGATGAAGTTTAATTTATAAATTAGGCACAGTAAGAACTTAACAATAAAAAATTAGAATAATGATATACTATAATAAAAGTTATGTGAATGTGGTCTCTCCCTCTTGTAATAATGTATTATAATTTTACCTTTTCACTTAAGAATGCACTTAGGGCTTTTTTTTTTTCCACATTTGAATTGCCAGCATCATTACTCTTGTGCACTGGGGAGACTATTCAGTAAAATAAGGGTTACTTGAATCCAACACTATGATACCTGGAAAGCAATCTGATAAGGAAGGTATCTAAGAAGTGACTGAGGGGTGGGTAATATACACAGCAAGGAGGTGCTAGGAAAAGGGATAACTCATGTCCTGCAGCAGGGTGGAGCAGGAAAGCACAAGCTTTCATGAAGCTACTCAGAATGGCACACAATTGAGAATTTGTGACTTTTTTATTTCTGAAATTTTCCATTTATTATTTCTGGGCTACAGTTGACTGTGAATAACTTAAACCATGGAGAGTAAAATGTTGCTGGGGTGAGGGGGTGACTGTTCTCAATTCTGCTGCAGTGCAAAAGAAGTCACAGAGAGTGTATAAGCAATTGGACATGACTGTGTTTCAAAGTAACTAGAAAAACACAAGTTTTCTTTGAATGGAAGAAGAAATGTTATTTTCCCCATAATTATCACTACTATTTATTAAATCAATATTTAATTCACAGCTAAGTTATAAATTATACTGGGCTAAAAATTTTTTTCTTGTGTAATTTTTCACTAAGATAATTAACTCATTTTAAAATTTGTTTAAAATCTTTACCCAAATACTCCACTACACCTTAAAACTCCTCTCAATCTCAGTTCAAATCTCTCCTGTGTGGGGCTGGGGATTTAGCTTAGCAGCACAGCACCTGCCTGGCAAACGCAAGGTCATGAGTTTGATTCTTGGTACTGGAAAAAAACCAAAACCAAAAAAAAAAAAAAAAACAACAACTAAAAAACCAAATCTCTCCTGTGCCTCCATCATTTAGAAACACCTTCCTAGATCCTTCCTCACCAGCCTCCAGGGCACTCACTCCCTTTGTCTCTTACAGGTGCAATCCCAGGTTTCTGCTCCCTAGGTTTACCCTCTCCCTTTGGTGAAGGTATCTCTAGGAAACATCTGAATCATGGGTAAGTTATTGCAACCTTTATAGGGGAAAATGTTTATCTTCTACCATGACAGTTTATTGGCTAGAGAAGGGGTGGCAAACCTATCCTGCATGCCACAGCGGACTCTTTGTATAACTGAAAGCTCTAAAATGTTTACCATCACTGGGCTAAAGCATCACACACACACACACACACACACACACACACACACGTGTCTAACTTGAAGTATCGGCCAAATATTACTAGTGACAAGGCACTAGTGCTGTCATCATTTTCAAACTAGGGAAGCCTTTGCTTTGCTGGCTGCAAAGCATGTATTGACACCACTAACATTAATTTAAGACCCTACTCTTCAAAAGACAAGTGTTCTAAACACCCAATATACTGTATGAGAGTAAAAGCTTTTTTCCTCTGCACCATGCTGGTAATGTAAACCAAAAGGCAAATCAAGAATAGTGATTTTAATCCTTGTCTGTGAGATGACATATTAGCAGTACAAGTAACAGTAACCTCCTAGTAAGGTTATTTAAACTCTTGTTATGGTGACAGGTGTGGTGGTGCATGCCTAAAATCCCAGCACTCTGGAGGCTGAGGCAGGAGGATCCCCACGAGTTCAAAACCTCCCTGAGCTACATAGTGAGTTCAAGGCCAGCCTCAACTACAGAGGGAGACCTTATCTCAAACAAAACAAAACAAAAGAAAACAAAACACCTATTTTATAGACTAAGTCTATTAGAAAAGTCCACTTTGGCAAGTTCTTCATAGGACAACTACTACTGAATTACAAAGCTTTCACTAACTGGAACAATCTCCTCTGGCTATTTAGCTATTACAGACTTCTCCCAGTGTCTTGTGTTGCTATAATTCTTCACTATAATCTGTTGTACTTGAGATAATATAAAGGTATAAACTAATGAAGCTCTCTGTAGTCTAGAAATATTTTCCACAATGTTGTAATCACAGAATCAGAACTGAATGGGATCTTTATTCACACTGCCAAATGTTTTAATTGCTTCAATTTTAATGAGACACATTTTCATAAAACAGGAAGGTTCCAAATCCCAGTTCATCTCTTCAACCAGAGAAAATAATTTCTTATGCCTAATCTGGTGATAAAAATCAACTTGCTTGGTAAGGATCACTCCTAAGAGCAGGAGAAGCAGCAAGCAGCCAGGTACTTCAGAGCTAGTATTACACTGTCAGGTAAAACATGACAGTGCTTTTTTGTTGTTCTTAGACCCTATCCATAATAAAACTGATGAAAATCAGTAACTTGTGATGTAGGACTGAAGAAATCTCCTGACAGCCAAGCCCACTCAAGGCTCAGAGCCCTGAAAATTCAAGTGATAATCCCACGTGGGAAGACAAAGATTTTTGAAATGATGTTCTATATTCCATCTCAGAAGCCCTTATCAGGAAGGAATGTAAGATCTCCTGACTCACTACAGTTTAATTTCTTTAGTGGCAGAACAGTAATACCTGCAGACTGGGAATGAAGACATCTAGGTCCTGAACACAAGGGTTGTATGATGTGGGTAATTTATTCCATCTCCCCAGATCTCAGTTTCTTCAACTGTAGAATAGGTATTAAAAAAAACAAAAACAAACAAACAAAAAACCATTATCAAGCTGCTACATAGGTTTTAAAAAGTTATTCTATTCACATCAAAATAAGAAGCCACCTACACTAAATAACTTAAATATGCTGGGGCACTAAAATGATTCTGAAGATATTTTCTCTTCCTGTTTGCCAAGAAAGCATATAAAGATGCAAAAGTTAACTCAAAATAGAAATTCTGAAAAGCTATTGGAGGTATTTAAAAAAAAAACCACAGAAAAAGGAACAAACTACTTAAACACACAACTTGGCTGAACCTCAAACACATTATGCTGAGTGAGAGAAACCCCACTGAAAAGACTGTATACTGAGTAGTTTCATTTATCTGACATTCTGGAGACAAAAACTGAAACCCATGACTAAGACAGGACAACAGGGTGAGGGACACGCCCAGTACAGTGATGCCACCATCACTTACAGAGAATCAAAAGGAAACTTGCTATTTTAAATCCTCCATCTGAATCTAGTGCTGTCCACATGACCAATCAGAACATGCTGTTTTTAATCCTTTGTTTGCATGTGTGCATAACCAATGAAAGGACACTATTCCTGATCCTTCATTTACATGTCATAGGAAGCCAAATGAGTTTCTTGATAGGACAGTTCATACATGGCATGAAGTCAAGTGAGTGTTGATAGGACAACTTTCCCCCTGCCTTATTTGCACAAGAGATAACCTGGGACACAAAAGACTCCTTTTCTTTATTCTTGGGGTGTGGAGGACCACCTAGCTGACTCTCCTCGAAAGAGGAGCAATTGGCTCCATTTCAGCTGAGCCTGACCCTATTTCCATGTGTTGATATGTACAGAGCCGGCTAGAACTTTTTCTTACCCCTTTAGTTGATTTTAGGCAATGCCTATCAGTCTAGCTGAGGTGCTGATGGTAATCTTTGGAGATGGCACGCGTGTTTTCCCGACCCCCTGTTGCTCCCTCAAGTGAGCTGTGATGAGACGGATGTGTGAGCCAATGCTCCACGCTGTTGGCTGGGATTGCGCCTTGGGAATAGAGGCTATGACTTCCTGGGGCTTCAAAGATTATATATCAGAGCTGAAGCACCTACCCCAAAACATTAGATGCTATCTCAGTTGTGTTATGCAGATTACTCTTTCTCCATATCCTCTCTCTGCGTATGGCAGAGGTGATTTCAGGCCTCCTACCTAGCCCAGTTCATGGCACTCATGTATTTCCTGCCACTCTTACAGTCACTCATCCTCAAGTCACTCCCTTCTTCACAAATGAATAAAGTCTGGGTTCAGTCCTAGATACAGGCCATTGTTCTACATAGCCATCGTTGGCTGGACTTAGGACCCCTCAGCTCCCCATAACTACAAATATGTACTTAGTGTCTTTATTCTCGCCAAGGGTTGCACTGGATGTGGTAAATTGGAAATGACTCGCTAGAATTCCAGTAACTTTTCATGGGATTATAAATATAAACTTTCTGGGTCGTGAGGAGGACTGAGAAGGGCTTTCTATATTGGGGGTGGCTGTACCTTTTTCATCAGCCACTCTTATTCTTGAGTACGCATCTTTTCTGCCTTTAATAAGTGTACACTTTCACCGCCTTTTCTGTGTTCTTTGTTCAACTCTGTTTGGGATATCAAGAACCTGCAAAGAAGCCCCGCAGCACTCTTCATCCAGTACCATGACTAGATGGTTAGAAATTCAAAATACTTTGAGGATACTAATATAGAGAAAAAAAGAAAAGAAAGACCACATAGCAAAAAAGACAAGCCTGTGGTGAGGATGGTTTCACTCCATGTACTGAATTCATAGGAAGCAATTAAAACACTGGATAAAATTATCATTCAAGTGAACCTTAGAGCACATTTTAAATAAAGTAGATTGTCCCTTTAGGTAATATTACACATAGGAAAAAAAGTACCTTATACAAATAATCCATATAGTAATTACAGTTACTATCCTGAGGGATATAATTGTAAGTAATCCTGTTAAACTGCATTCAAATTCTGAATTGTTAAAATTGTTTGGGAGCAATTTATGATAAGGACAAAATCTACCTGACAGCTATGTAAGACAGTAGGAAAACAAAATCTATGTGTTAGCAGAATCCTAACTCATGCAGTCATAGGGGAGTGCTTTCTAGAGGTGGCAGGGTCTAGAGGGTGTGGTGCTGGGATCAAGGGCATATGATTACTAAATCAATTCATTAATGGTATGGAGTACTACACCTGCCCTAGGGTGGGTAACCTGCATAAAACATAAGAAATTTCTCATAGGAAGGAACAAGTGGGATGAGGGAAAGAAGAAAAAAGAAAGAAGGAATGCAAAATATAAATATATATATGAATAGCTGCAATAACTATGCTGATGTCTGATGGTATATTAAAATGAACAGTTAATGATTACAATTTTTTATGTTCTGATCAATTGTGCATGCTTGTGTCTGGTGGTCTGAGCAACTGATTTGAAGGTAACAATATGTAATGGAAGTACAATGGTGAACTCCTACCATCTTGTCTAGTGAAACTGTATTATCTCTACTGTTTTATCAAAGAATTATTTTCTTATTCCCTAGAATGGCTTGAGCAATCTTTCATTCTTACATCTGGTAATCTGAGCAGTGTAGTTGAGGATAGCGATATGTAATGTAACAACCACTGCTGATTCGTATTACTTTGTTTTGAGACTGTATCACTTTGAATGTTTTTGCTTTGATTTATTTATGTTTGTAATACTGCTACCAGTAGTAGTCACTTAACATTACCAGAATGCTGCTACCGGTCTATTTCTTTGTTTGTTTCTCATTTACTACTCTCTTCAAAATTATTAAAAAAGAAAAAAACGTAAGGGACACAAACAGGGCTAGTGTGTTCTCACCTGCCTGCTTGCTATGGATGATTTCTCCACTGCAGTGCTCCTCTGCCATGTCACTCTGCCTTGGAGCCAGCTGACTATGGACTGAAACTTCTACAAATTGTGAGGCAAATAAACCTTTCCTCCTTTCCCTTTTGAGTGTTGGGTATTTTGTCTCAGCAATGAGGAAAGTACCTAAGATACTAACATAGACATTACTCAGCAAAGATGAGTTCTTACTTAAGATGATAATAAAAGAAAAAGCACACATACATGATCAGGCTCAGTACTATTCATTCTACAGGAACAGAAAAGCCAGGCCAAGTGGCAAGCCGATCCACAATCTGAAAACCTCTTCTCAACTATATCTGTGGAATTCCTAACACTAAATATACTAGTACCTCATATACTATTTCTACAACTCTGCTGCATAAAAACTCAAGATTTTAAAATAATTTTTTTGTCTTTTTGCGACAGGGTTTCACTATGAATTTCAGGCTGGCCTGGAACTCACTTTGCAGCTCAGGTTGGCCTCCAACTTGCAGTGATACTCCTGCCTCAGCCTCCTGAGTGCTGCGATTATAGGCATGTGCCATCATACCCAGTAAAAACTTAACATTTTTCCCAAGCTTTTTTCCTTAAAGACAAATTAGCTATTGTGTTCTCTCCCTGTAGAATGTACTTATTTTCCTACTTTTACTTGGCCCAAACTCACTCTGCAGAGCCTGTTTCTTTTTTCTACTTTCAATAAATGTAAAATTGTGTTACTGTTTGCACTTGTCTTGACCAATTCTTTGTTCAGGACAGAAAGAACCTAGAAACCACCTCTAAAAGGAGACTCCAGCACCTAACGCCCAGTAACATATTTGGCAAAAAGCCAGCCAGGACACTTAGAAATTCAGGTACTTTAGAATATGCTTGAGAACCTGTGCAGAACCAAGAGACAGACACTGTGTGAATGCCAAAGTAGAGCCACCCTCGTACTGTCTGGGTGAATGCGTAGGATATTGTTTCTCACAGGGCTAAAGGAGTCCCTGGTAGGGGGCTCCACCCTAAAAGGGGCCCTAGAGCAGGCTCCACACTTCTAAAGAGTCAGTAGGCCAATGTACCACCATGAGAGACACCTTGCGGATCTCAGCCATTTTGCCATTAGGCTGTATCCTTAAAACTTGGGAACAATTTGATCCTTAAGGAATCATACTGGCCCACAAGGTATGAAGAGTTCTAAGAAAAAAGGCACCAGTGTCGCTCACTTCACCAGAGATGTGTGGTAGTACAACTGAGTCTTGTGGAGGACACTCTGGGCTTGCATCATTCTGTGGGGGACACCTTCTGAAGGACCCTAGACCTATTCTCTCTCTCTCCATAGGCCCCAACAGGTAGCTAGTTGGAGCCACAGGGGCTCCCCCTTTGTCTTTACTACTGTAATACTATTTGGGTCCAGTAACTAAGGAATGGTGAGAGATGGGTCCAGAACAGCAGTCTAAATTCTTCAGTTAGATCCTCTTTTTTTTTTTCCTTGCAAAAGTAAGAAATCCCTTATGTTTGAGCTTTTATGGCTCTTTATCTTTGTAAAGGCCCAAGAACCACAGTATTTAAAGAGGCCTCCAAAGGAAAAAAGTGTCTGTCCCCAGATGCCTACCTGTGTCTTAGGGGTCTCTTTCCCGTTTCCACCAAAGGCTAGCACCCCAGAGAGACGCAAAGTTTTCAGAAGACTTTAGTATGTTTGCAGATGAGACCTCAGGACCCCACAACTCAAATGTAGGGCAGAGGCTTTTCTGTGTTCAACAAGTGGGACCTAGATAAGAATAAAAGAAGGGCTAAGGATTATTTTTTAGAAGGCCAAAATTATGTCTGTTGCAACTGGCAATGCTTTAAGCAAGCCCAAACTGACCAAGGGAAAACCCAGGGCCCATCCCAGCCTGCAAGAAAACTGGATATTGGGCACACGGCTGTACCAAGCCACTGCCTGGGCCCTGCTCCATGTGTCAGGTGGCTGATGTGCTTGACTCATGACACTGAAAGACTGACTGTCCCCACTCCCAGAGAGGGGCTAGGCCAGCCAAAACTCTCACCCCCTGTTTTGATGAGGACTGAAGAGGTCAGGAACAACCTTAAATGCCCCTGTCCAAGGACAGCTCCAGCTCCTGCAAGAAATCGTCGATGACTCTTGATGGATGGGTAAGCAATTTCAATTGCTTTGGCTTCTGTTTTAATTTCCTTCTTTGGAAAACCCTCCTCTAGATCTGTAGGTATTATTGAGATTAAGGGGGGTCCTGCTCAGTGGTTCTTTAGTCCTGCTTTGCAAGCTTTGGATGGTGATCTGCCCATCTAAAACCATGAGGAGGTGTGGTTCCCTAATGGAAGAAACTTGGTCCAATCCAAGGAGGATGTCTAAAGACAGGTCACTGAGGCCAAAGCCCTTCCCCCAGAGAGTCCACAGCTCTCATTTGGGCATTGATATTAGGAAAAGGCAAAAAGCTAAATATCTCTATAGACCCCAAATATGCCTTTCTGGTGCTACATGCCCTTGTAGTAATCTGGAAAGAAAAAAAAAAGAAGGTTGTTAACTAAAAAGCAATCATTTATAAAACAAGAAATTGTACAACTCTTAAAGGTAATCTATTTTTCTAAACAGGTTGCTGTCACTCATTGCAAGGACACCCCCCACCCAAGAAGATGTCCAAAGTCTCTGGGAAATCAAGAAGCTGGTGGAGAGGCAAGAAGGGTAGCCTTGTAGTCCCTCAAGACCCTAGCATTATTTCCAGTTCCTGAGGAAACGTTATGATCTTTCTTTAAGGAACACAGTGAAGAGCTGTAAAAATCCAGTACTGTTTTGGGTACAGATAAATGGGCACCTGTAATGAGGCGCCTGTTTTTAATTACAGCCATAATGTAGGTAATCTTGCTAATGCTATGGCTCTCCGGTTCTCAATAATTTATCTACATCTCTTTGCCATACTTTCTCCTGCACAGGAAGCATGGAAATCTGACTTGCTACTTCTCACATTTGGGCTCTAACTCCCCAACTGTAATGGACTGACAACTGGTGGTCAACTTATAACCCCTAGCTGAACTGAGTAACCATGGTGCTGGGTGTGGGAGGTCCACCTGAGGCTTGCTCCCAACAGCCCAAGAGGCAGAACTGGAAAAGAAGTGAGGCTTTGGGAGCTGAGAAAAGGCTGTTGGGAGCTCGTAGAAGCTGTAAGGAGCTGTTGGTTCTTTTGGAGGAGCTTGTCATGCTGGCTTTCCTGATGAACTTGGCTGTTTTCATCCTCTGAGGAGCTCAGGACCTGCTGGCACTGAGAATAGCTTCAACTCACTTTGGAGGAGCTCAGGTCCTCACTCTGAGCATTGCTTCCTGGCTCCAGAGGGGAACATGGTGCACTGCCAGTGTCCTGGAGAAGCTTGCTGTGCTGGCTTTCCTGATGGGAACTCAGCTGTCCTGATCATTGGAGGAGCTCGGGACCTCACTGTTGCTGAGGATGGCTGTGGTACCTTTTGGGGGAGCTCTGGTTCCTCGGAGCGTCGCTTCCTGGCTCCAGTGCAGATCCCTCAGCCTGCTAGCACAGATCCTTCATCCCACTGGTGCAGACTTTCTAGATTCCACCACTGACCTTTGGGCCTTCCCACAACAGATCTGTTAAACAGGGCTGCATGAGAGGTCATGGGCTCTGGGCTTCCAGTTGGACTCGTGGGAGAGACTGTTATGGGCTCTAGGTCTTTCTTCAGCTGGACTCATGCAGGACATTTCTGTGGGATCCAGGTCCTCAGCTAGATTCCTTGGTCTTAGTGTGTGGACAGTTTTCCTGCAGTCTTTTGTATATCATTCTCTGGGTGACTATTAGAAATAATCTTGTAAAATATGTGTCCTGTATTAGATGGTTCCCCTTGCAATAAGCCCCAAACCATAATACCAACCCAAGAGTAAAGTTACTTTCTTTCTCCCACGGAATGGACATCTCAACAGTTACTAACTCTTTTCTCATTGTCGTCTGACAGGATTTTTTTCCTTCAACTCAGCCAGTGAGCCACAGTACCCCAAGGTAGTTAGACAACACATAAACAGAAGTAGGTAGGGCACACAACCCCTTTCAGCAGAAAGTAGGTACAGTACATGAAGACAGAGATCTCTGGTCCCTCAACACCACAAAAAAAATTGTTAATTGTTGAGCTATGCGTCTCTCAGGGGAAAATGAGGCAGGAGAGTAGGCATGATAAAACTGGCTGAGAAAGTAGGTGCGACCTGTTAATTACAAAATCCCAGGACACATGCCCAAAGCCCTGCAATGGACTTCTCAGCTAGAACTCAAGCAGGTTTTTGATAGGATGGCCTACACCCGATGTCGGCCTGAGGTGGGGGTGATATAAAACGGGCACTGGGACAATGAGTTCTTTGCTACTATATTCTCTCACTGCAGTCCACTCTTCTTGTACAGCGTACTCTTTTCCTACTTTTAATTGGCCAAAACTCCCTCTGCAGAGCATGTTTCTTTTCCTAAGTTTAATACATGTAAAATTTTGCTACTGTTAAAAAAAAGACAAATAATGGATTCTGATCTGATCCAAATTTCCTTTGACTCAGGTTTTGCAGGTGATAGCCCGAAAGCTACTTCCAAATCCTCTGCAAAGCCAGGAGGATGCTGCACCCTGATGGATTCCACAGTCATTTCAGCCTCATACAAACTAAACTGCACTTCACTTAGGAACTGACAACTTCTGTTTTATAAATTCACAAATAAATTTGTGAATAAATAAATTCACAAAAAAATTGTGAATAAATAAGTAATTAAACTTTGGATTTTTAAAGATGAAAAATAGTTCCTAATACTCTCTCATCCCCATTCCAGTTCCGGCTTCCCTTAAACCTCAAAGGATGACAGTACTCACATAGGAGATAGGGCCTGACAAAGCTTGCCGGGGAAATGGCCGGGACCTGTCCATCACAAGATCCCAGAGAAACTTGAGGACCCTGTATAAAGGACTTCTTGCAAGTTCCCACTGAGATGTAGACAGCATAAAAAAGGAGCAGCCCTCAGGAAGGACGCCATCCTGTGTGAGTTTACACGACAGCCCGCACTGCAGTGTCTCTTAGACATGGCCGGTACTTTTATTTTTGTGTTTACCCTCTTTTGCTCTCTGTTCACCCAACTTCACCCTGCAGAGCTGGTTTCTCCCATACATGTTTACCCTGCACTTTCCACATGAACTTTTGGCACTGCTACTGGCTGGTCTTGTCCAATTCTTTGAGGCAGCAAGAACCTGGGATACTTTTGATTGGCAAGTCATTTCTCAAGAAATCACCCTATAACAGTACTGAGGTCAGTGCAAAACTAGTCTATGGGGGAATACCTACCTCAAGATGCTGCATGATATGATGACTATATACAAAAAGTTCTCATGATCAGTTTTGTATATTCACCTAACATGCGGAAAACTGAAATAAGTCTTTCCAAAAAGTCAAAGAAACTTTCTTTAAAAAAACAAAACAAAACAAAAAAACCTTTCTGTTTGGCCTGGTGGTGCATGACTGTAATGCCAGCACTCAGCAAGATGAGGCAGGAGGATCACCAAGAGTCTGCGGCCACCTTGGGCTACATAGTGAGTTCAAGGCCAGCCTGAAGTACATAACAAGATCTTGTCTCAAAAAAAAAAAAAAAAAAAAAATTTTTTTCTTGTAAAAGCAAATGAAGATAGCTTTTGAAAAAATGGCAGGGTACATGGTTGGCAATAGATGATACTGTACAAGGTCCTGCTTCTCTGAATCTGGTTGCTTTACACTAAAGGCAATATGCAGAATACTTACAAGGGCCACTGCTCTTTGGGAATCAAACCACAGGCCTCATGCAAGCAAAGCAAGCCCTGTACTACTGAGCCACACCCTGAGCCTTATGCAAATTTAAACCAATCCACTAAGATCTTACACTATGTGTAATCTTTTAATCTGTTTATATATTGATATAGACTGGCCACCTATTTTAAATTCATATTATATTACCAAACAACATACTGTTAATACTACTTCTAACACCTAATTACTTGCCTAGAAGTAACAGGTGGCAAGTTTTCAGGCTGACAAACAGCACACTTTTAGAGGGGCAGGTCTAAGAAATGACAAAACTCATGCCCAGAATGAGCAAGAAAACCAGAAAGGAGCCAGTTAACTTCTTTATAAATAGTACCAACTGCAAGATTAAAACAACAACCATTTAAAAATACAAAATTAACTTCTTGACTACGTATTTTTCTATTACCTATTCCAATGCTTCCTTCAACATCAGACTAAGCACGGGCAACCAGCTGAAGAAGCATGATTAATTCACTTGTTGTTAATTCACTTTAACAACAAAGAACTGACATATTAAACAATTAGTTCCACTATAAGTGTTTCTAGACACAGATGTCCAGTTTGGGGGACAGTGAATTTCCAAAAGGCCACTTTGGAATACACATGCAGAATAAGATTCAAATCTTCAACCACTGGCACCCTTTCCTCAAGATGTTCAATTTGGAAATGAAAACCTTTATTGGTGGCAGTATATCTCAGGCTAGTAATAAAATGAAGTAAATAAAGTCAGAGAATTCATTAGGCTGGATATGAAATTCAAGTATCAGTTCTTTTTTTTTTTCCTGGTACCGGAAATCGAACTCAGAACCTTGTGCTTGCCGGGCAGGTGCTGTGCCACTGAGCTAAATCCCCAGCCCCTCAAGTATCAGTTCTTAAAGGCTCAACCGAATCCTCAAGGAGTTGCTGGCAAAGCTGGGTGTCACAGACAAATGATAAAGGCAGCCCTTAAG